GCGCTACTGCTTGAGCCACATCCCCAGCCCTCACCTTTTTTTTTTTTTTAATTTATTTTTTAGTTGTAGTTGGACACAGTATCTTTATTTTATTTATTTAATTTATGTGGTGCTGAGGATCGAATCTAGGGCCTTGCAGGTGCTAGGTGAGCGCTCTACTGCTGAGCCACAACCCCAGCCCCAGCATTCACCTTTTTTGAGGGGTGGGATGTTGGGGATGAAACTAGGGTCTCATAGGTGTTAATAAGCACATGCTGTACCACTGAGCTACACCCCAAGCTAGCATTACTCTTTTGCTGACATCTGCTGCAGGAACATAAACTGAACATAAATGGTGTTTCCACAGCACCACAAAAAAACAGAAATGCAGATGATGTAAAGTAGGGGTTGAAAAAGTTCAATAACTTGCAAAGGTCATGGAAATAGAGAAATTATTTATTTATCCACTGGGGGTTGAACTCAGGGGTGTTTACCACTGAACTACATCCCCACTCTTTTTTATTTTTTAATTTTGAGACAGAGTCTTATTACATTAGTGAGGATCTCACTAAGTTGCTGAGGCTAGCCTCCTCAGCCTTCTGAGTTGTGGAGATCACAGGTGTGCGCCACTGCACCTGGTGGCTAATAAGAGAAATTAAATAAAAATACTGACCTTCACCTTTCTGGGAAAATACAGGTATTCATGCAAAATGTAAATGGTAATTTATGATTATCACAGTTAGTGTATATTTGTTTCTTTAAAAAAATTACTAAATACAATATGGTGTCCTGGATTGTAGCCTAGAATAGAAAAAAGAACATTAGTGGAAAAACTGGTGAAATCCAAACAAAACCTGTGGTTTAGTTAAAAGTAATATACCAGTGCTAATTTCTTAATGTTGATAAATGTAGGAAGGTTATGTAAGCGAATATTAGGGAAATTGGGCAAAAGGCATAAGGAATTCTGTACTAATTTTTGAAACTTTTCTGTACACCTAAAATTATTCCAAAATAAAAAGTTTATTTAAAGCCAAACAAATAAGAAAGCAAACATAAATAGGTTTTGAGTTCCCCAAGTGGATTGAAATAAAACTTTAGAATTGCCTTTAAAAATCTCCATCATGGGGGCTGGGGTTGTAACTCAGTGGTAGAGCACTTGCCTTGCATGTGAGGCACTGGGTTTGATCCTCAGCACCACATTTAAAAAAGGAACCAAACCAAACAAAATGAAGGTATTGTGTCCATTCACACCTAAAAATAAATAAATAAACCCCCAGCATCCAAATTGGAGAAGTGTGCCCTCTAGTGGAGATAGTAGTCAGGATTTTTTTTTAATGTTAAACTGTTTCAAATGAATTATGATAATATCTGAAGAGACAGTTACCCCAAGTCTTTTTAAGTGAGGTCTCTTAATCTCCCCAAAACTGTATAAATAACATTTTATAGTCTTTTACATGCTTGAATAACAAAATGTAAGCCAGGCACAGCGATGTGCTCCTGTAATTCCATCTACTTGGAAGATTGGGGCAAGCCTCAGGAACTCTGCAAGGCCACATCTCAAAATAAAAACTAAAAAGGCTGGGAATGTTATTCAGCGGTTCAGTGCTCCCTCCGCCCCATCTCAAGTTCACTCCCAGATCCAAAAAAAAAAAAAAAAAAAAAAAGCAAAAATGTGTTTATCATAGATAAATTTTCAAAAAACACAAGTCCCATAATTCTATCCCTAAAACAGCACTTCTATGAACTATTACTAAACAGACCTCTGAAACATATATAATAATATATATTTCTAATGAAATATAATTAAATTATTCAAATAGTTTTTCTCCCGCTACATATAACAAGCATTTCCACATATTCTCTCTCTCTCTCTTTCTTTTTTCCTGAGCTGAGTCCTTGCTGTGTTGCCCAGGCTGGCCTCCAGCTTCTGGGCTTTAAGTTGTCTTCCTGCCTCCAGAGTAGCTGGGACTGCTCCAGCTGGCTCCACATATTCTTTTTTTTTTTTGTAATTTAGTTCTAGAGTGCTTTATTTTATTAGGATATATGTAAATCTTTTTTCTTAAAGAGAGAGTGAGAGAGGAGAGAGAGAGAGAGAATTTTTAATATTTATTTTTTAGTTCTCGGTGGACACAACATCTTTGTTGGTATGTGGTGCTGAGGATCGAACCCGGGCCGCACGCATGCCAGGCGAGCGAGCTACCGCTTGAGCCACATCCCCAGCCCCTCCACATATTCTTAACTTGTGTCCAGGACCATGAATCCATCGTCTCTGTGAGCCACAGCATGTGGCATTTCAATTCACTTCGTTCTTTTTTGTGTGTTCTGGGGATTGAACCCAAGGGAACTTAACCATGGAGCCACATCCCCAGCTAAGTTTTTAAAATATTTTATTTTAAAACAGGGTCTTTCTAAGTTGCTTAAGGCCTTGCTAAGTTGCTGAGGCTGGCTTTGAACTTGTGATCTTCCTGCCTCAGCCTCCTGAGCCACTAGGATTCCAGCCGTGGGCCAGCACCCAGGGCAATTCACTTCATCTCTACAAGCGCACTTTCCCATGCTTGTGGGAGCAGCACCCTATAGCTCTAGTCTATACAGCGTGTGGCAACATTTCTTTCATTCCTGAGGAATCGGAGGTGTGGCTAAGTCACTGATGAAATAAGAGTCACTGTCTTAAATTCAAGCTGGTGGATCCTCAGAGACCATCTGTCCAGCTCCTTCCTCCTGCATCTGGGGAGAAGTGACCTTCCCTAAGGCTGGGAGGGGAGATGGTGCTAGATTTGGTAGAGGTCATAATATTTTCATGGCTAACTACACACCAGCTTCAGCTCTCCCAGATTCTATTAAACGAACTGCCTTTTGACCAAGTCCCTTTAAAACATTACAGAAAAAAAAATCTCATCTTTCTACTTTTATTACTTATTTATTTATATTGGGGGGTGGGCTGGAGGTTGAACTCAGGGCCATGACCAACGGGGTGAGTGTTCTGCCACTGAACTATATGCCASCCCTACTTTTAAAGTGTATGTAAATAAACAGCGCTGGGGCTGAGGCTCAGTGATAGAGCACTTGTCTCACATGTGTGAAGCAATGGGTTCGATGCTCAGCAATGTATATAAATAAACGAATAAGACAAAGGTCCATCAACCACTAAAAGAAATTAAATATATATATATATATATACAACCCAAATTATTAAGTATATACAAATTATACAATATACATAAACACAAATTATTAAATATATAAAACCCAATTAGAAATATTGTCTAATTAGCCAACACCATGGACGTACTCTGCATCACCCAGGGCTTCACCCCTCAACGGGCTGTATCTCCTCCTCCCTACCTGCTCTGTTTCTTGCTCGCTCTTTCTTCCTGGGATGTTGTGGAGGGAAAGAACTGGGATGTAAGAAGGGAAATGTTACAGAGGCCCTGAAGTGCTCTGTGCAAGGACAAAACATGACCCTATGGCTGGTTGGTTTGACCATGCAAATCCCTCTCCATTCAGGTCTGCACAGGTCTTTCCTGAGCAGGATCAGTGACAGTGAAGTTCTGACCCCTGTGGACAGACCTCCTTTATTGAGAGGACACAGCGTCCTTGGAAATACCCCAGGGTTGGAAGGAAAGGCCTACCAGGGCAGTGGAATTGGAAATACTCTAGAGACCACAGAGGCAGGGAGGGTTCTGAGTG